TTGTGGTGACCCCAACCATAAAATTATTTAGTTGCTACATCCTAACTGTAATTTTGCTACTGTTATGAATTGTAACATAAATATTTGTGTTTTCCAATGGTGTTAGGCAACCCATGGTTAAGGGTCATTCCACCCTGAAAGGGGTGGTGATCCGCGGGTTGAGACGTGCTGGCATGGAAGGTTTTGTTGTCATTCACCACCATTTCCTCCATCAATCTGGTCCCCAGTGTCCCTTCAGCTGCAAACAAACAACGACATTTAATAACTCGCAGCTTCACCAGGACTCGCTTCAGAACTGTTCTCACACTGGGAAGATCATTTTCTTCTCAGAGTCCCGGCTTTCAAATCTACCACAGCTGCTCATGTAACCATGAGGCTGGAGGGAGAGGAGGGACATCAGCCCCATGCCCAAGCCTGTCCTTCAGGCCGACCAGCACAGGCTTCCTCTATGCAGGCTCCTCCTCAGGTACACGATCCCTCTTCTGCCAGAGGGCTTCCTGTAGAGACTCTACTCCACTCTTCACCATTCGCATGCCTTCTTCCCGCCCTGCCAGAGGGAGCTACTGGAGAGCGGTGGTTGCCTTCCTTCAACAAATGTGTTGAGTGACGTGTGCCAGGCCCTGGTCTAGGAACCAGGAAGTTGGCAAGGAAGGGCCAGGACATGTCTCTTCCTCATGTTTGCCTTTGCACTTATGGAGCCGCTCATAAACCTATTAGTTAGCTACAGCATATGTTAATTTACTCCCAAAACGTAAGCGGATAAAATAAACAGATGAGTACCTCCCTCACAAGTGTTCCGAGGAAGTCATAGGTATGCAAACAAAGTCCCAAATTTTCTGCTGTTGGTTTTTATTACTCTTTGGCTCTTTCGGGGCGCCCACCACCCAGTTCCCTAATAAATACACGGAGGCTTTTTCTTACTTTTAAATGCCTGGCCTTCGCTTGTCTTGTTTCTTGCCAGCTTTTCTTAATTTAAATTATCTCTGTCTACCTTTTGCTTCTGGGCTTTGACCTCTCTCTATTTCTGGATATCTTTTATTTCCTTCTTATTCCGAATCTGGCTGGGGGGTCTAACCCCTTCTTTTCACTCTCCTCGATCTCTCCTCCCAATCTCCTTCTATTTATTCAGCCTGCCAGCCCTGCCTATCCTTTCTTATGCCTTGCTATTGGCCATTCAGCTCATTAGACCAATCAGGTGTTTTAGACAGGCAAAGTGACACAGCTTCACAGAGTTAAACAAATGCAACAGGAAAGAATGCAACACATCTTTGCATCATTAAACAAATGTTCCACAGCATAAACAAATGTAACACATCTTAAATTAATATTCCACAACAATTTGCCATCTTCTTCAGAAAAAAGACTTTGCTAAAAAAAATATGCCTCCTCACTTAGCAAAAAAAAGGGGGGGGACAATAATAAAAACACACGTCTCTATGGTCTGGGGGAATGGAATGGCTCAATCAGTAAAGGGCTTGCTGCATAAGCATGAGGACCTGAGTTGGATTACCTTCAATCCATGTCAGAAGCCAGACTTGACAGGGCACACCTGCAACTCCAGTACAGACAGGGGGACTCCACCAGCTCACTGGTCTGTCAGTCTAGCCAAATGGGTGAATCCCAGAGTCAGCAAGAGACCTGTCTCATAAAATAAATTAGAGCATTGAGTCAAAGTTGACCTTTGGTACACACACACACACACACACACACACACACACACACACAATAACAAAAGTTCCTCCTTTTGTTAGTCTTCATCTTAATTCATCTGTGCTTCCCTTGCAGTCATATTCTCTAAGCATCTTGTCATGATAGTCATGTTCTGCTTGTTCAGCCATTTGTGGAAAAAGATGTCTGAAGCCCCTATTCTGATCTATTTGAAATAGTTTCCTTTAGTGTAGGATGGGATTAAGACTTTCTAAAGGAACCAGACCCTCTCAAAGGAAGGTCTAGTTTCCTTGTGTTTGTTGACAAAGGGATCTGTCACAGGCAGGGTGCACACTATTAAGTAGAAGCCTCAGGTAAAAGGGAAGGAGCTTTTCTTTTTTTCATGAAAAAAATAGAGTGCTACCATGCAGTGTGCAACACGACACCCTCCTGTGATGAGCTAGCAATATGCATACAAATGGCAAAGGTTAGCCTTGACTTAGCAATATATGTGTCTGTGGTTTTTCCTCCCTCTATTCTGCTTTGAGACTCGGGGATGGGAGACACAGAGAAGGACAGCTGGAATGTCCACTGTGCTAATGAGAGCTAACATGTGTATAATAACATGCAGTGCTGTGCCTACTGCCCTGGCTCTTTCAGGAGGCAGGTTTTTTTCTGTTAAGTAGCAATAAGAAAGCTAGTGACTCTCACCAGAAAAGGTAGATGAAGTGTTCCCAGAGCCTACATATTCAGGAGTAAAACCAGTTCGTTCCTAGTATAGAAAGAGATGGAAAAATTCTAGACAGAAAATTCCAGGTAAGGTAAAAAAAAAAAAAGATGTGGTTTGTTCAAATGCTAGCAGAAAACCAGCTTGATTCCCCAAATTTGCTAACATTTCAGGACTGAGGAGAATGGTCATCTACTTTTATTTCTTTGGCAGTTAGCTTTGCATTGTGCCTGATGTTTTATGGCAAGGTTGTGCAATTGTCCTGCTTAGTGTTTTAAAGGCAGTGTTTACAATGAATGGGAAAATGTTGTTCAAGTCAAAACACCTCTGAGGATCCAGGACTGTTTGGATCCTAAGGCATCAATTGTCACCCACAATTTCCCCATGGTAACAAAACCTGCAGAGGCCAAGAATCAGTAAGGATGCTCAAGAGAGAAAACACAGCCCTTGAAGGTCCTCAAAACCAATGAAAATACCAAGGGACTGCAAGAGTCTCACCAGCTTCAGTTTCTCTTGCCAACCCTTTCCTTCTCCGTACTTGTCCAATTAGTGGCATTGGACTATAAAGGGCAGTCCCTCTGCAGGGGCCTGTCACCCCCATGAAGCAAAAAGTGAAATAGAGACATTGTGCTTTGAAAAGAATGTCATACAATTGATTCTTATAAATTGTCAGAGGAGGGTGTCTCATTGATTGGCATAGGAGATTTATAAGTTTCCAGGTCTCTGTGTGGGCTCCTAAGGACTGCCTTGAAGGACAAATTGAGTTGACAGGTCACCTGAGTCCTAATACAAGGTAGCTGCTATTTGCAGTCCTGAGGATGGGGCCTAGGGCCCAGTGTGTGCTAGATAAGCACTCTACCACTGAACTACCAACCACCCTTTTATTTTTATTTTGAGGCAAGGGCTCATTAAGTTACCCAGGCTGGCCTTGAACTTACCATGTAGCCCAAACAATCTTGAATTTGCTATACTCTTGCTCAGCCTCTCAAGTAACTATATTGACAGGTATCATCGTTAATCTCTCCCCTACCCCCTCACCCAGACAGAGTTTTTCTGTGTCACCACCTAGATGTCCTGGAACTCACTCTGTAGGCCAGGCTGGTCTTAAACTCATAGAGATCTGCCTGCCTCTGCCTTCCGAGTGCTGGGATTAAAGGTGTGCACCACCACACCCATCTATAATGGTTAATCTTAATTGCCAAATTCATTAGCTTTTAGAATCACCATAAAAACACCCCTCTGTGTGTACCCATGAAGGTTTTTCCAAACATTTTAGCTGAAGAGAGAAGGTCTACCCTGAATCCAGGCAGCATCATCCTCTGGGCTGTAATTCAGGTACTGTGTAAGAAAGAGAAAGTGGGCTAAACACCGCCATTCATCTCATTCTGTTTGCTGACTGTGGATGCAGTATGATGCCACACTATTGTCACCATGCAATATGGATGACACGCTTGAACCAAACATCATCTTTCCTTATTGCTTTTGTCAGATATTTTATTGCACTAACAAGAAAATCAAATAATACACCAGGCATTTACTTAGCTGACTTTGGATGTGAGGCCCATGACAAGCACTGTGTTATTTCCAGCAGATGCTGGTGGCCTAACAGTACAGGATGAGGTTACTATGAGTTTTGGTAAGTTTAAACCCAAGTTTGCAAGCTGATGATTGGATTTGGCTTACAAACCTGTTTTATGTGTGTCCTCTACTGCCTTTAGCTTCAAATCAGTTGCCAACATTAAAGATAGTCACACAGCACCTTCTGGCACGGTGATTCTCAACCTGTGGGTCACCACCCCCCATAGGGTTGCCTACCAGATATTTACATTAAGATTCAAAACAGTAGAAAAATTACAGTTATGAAGTAGCAATGAGATGATTTTATGGTTGGGGGTCACATAACATGAAGAACTGTATTGAAAGGTGGCAGTATTAGAAAGGTTGAGAACCACTGTTCTAAGATGTCTCAAAAATTCCAATTTTTACATAGCCCTCAACTTCTTCCAGAGCAGGTGCACCTTTCCATAGTCTACCAGAGCCTTGTGCTCATTCCCACTTGCTCCTAACCACTGCAAAAGTTGGAACTTGCAAGTCCTATTCCTTTAGAATCACTATTAACATGTGTGCACAATGCACCCATGATGTGTATGTGTGGGTGCAAATGACATAGTAGACTGTGGAGGTCAGAGGGAAACTCCATGGAGTCTTTTCTCTCTGTGGGGATCAAAGTTAAGTCCCAGGTATGTACAGCAAGCATTTTCATCCACTGAGCCATCTTGTGAGGCCAGCAATTCTTATTTTAACTTTTCTCCATATTCCCTGGATTCCATGAGGTAATGGCGCTTGGTAAAGTACATGCATTAAAGCCCATCTTAGAGTATTTCTCTTAGTTGGATATGGGCTTATGGGACCACACAAGCCTGTTTGGGTTATTCATAGAGGGTGCATGGAGTACAAAAACCTGAATGGCTCATGATGGTCTTAGAAAGTTCCTGATTTGAGGTGGCTGTGCTATAGATGTGCAGAAGGACATAAGCGTCTGTGTGCAAGAGGGAGAGGTGAGACCTCAAAAGAAAAACTGAGGTTGTTTTCAAACATCGTTTCTGTTCCATTTCTCCTCTTTTAGGTCCATGCCACAAGCGGCGGGTGGGTCGATGCTGTACACAGCTGGGCTCCCTGTCAGCACTGAAGCACGCAGTCCTGGGGCTCTACCTTCTGGTCTTCCTGATTCTTGTGGGTATCTTCATCTTAGCAGGTAAGAGTAGCTTTGTGTGTCCAGGGCTTTGGGGATGAGAGAGGGAGACTCATAGCCTCTGCTCCCCACTCCCACTGCCATATGCCCAAATGCCACCCTTGTTGCTATGGAAACCGGAGAGGAAGATGCTGGCCCACCCTGTTTCTATGGAAACCACAGAGGAAGATGATGGCTGGTCTTTCTGACCAGACATGGTCTTCAGTAGTACTGCCTGTTTCTGTGTGGACTGGAGTGGCAGGGGAGGCTGTTTGAGGGTGTAGGACCTCTGAAGCCAGTAGGATAGATCCAGCTCCCCAGGGAGGCTGGATGTCCCTGCATCATCCCTGTCCCTGCATCATCATGGGACATATGCTTTACACCAGACCTCTCTAACCTCTGGGATGGTCATTAAAATAGTCATGTGGCACTTTGCTGCTGAGGTTAATCAGGGTTGGGGAAGCCTGTTTCCCTTTGCAGTTATGAGGAGATAGAATTGGTTCTATCTCAACTCTTGGTTCTTCTTCCATTTTTTTTTTATGAGATAAGCCTTTAGTGGGTAGGATGGGAGTGGGGGACATTCTTTAGCTAGGGCAAGTCAGAGCTGGCAGATTTAGAAAGGGATGGGGAGTACACATTTAATCCCAGCACTTAGGAGGCAGAGCCAGGTGGACCTTTGTGAGTTCAAAGCAATCCTGATCTACATAGTGAGTTCCAGGAGAGCTTATATAAAAACAGCTTATACAAAGTTTATACAAAGAGATTGTCTCCAAAAAAGGAAGGAAGGAAGAAAAGAAGGAGATAAAAGGAAGGAAGGAAGGAAGGAAGGAAGAAAGGAAGGAAGAAAAACAGAAAGATAAGAAAAGGATCTAGTGGGAGCCTGTTGGCTTTGTGCTGTGCACAGCCCAGTTTCCCACCTGCAGGCCATTCCACCATGATGGAGACAGCAAAGCCAGGCCCTTGTGGTCTTTTCCTGGCCTCTCCAGAGGACAGACTGCTCATTTACCACCTTCTCAATAGAGACTTGGACAGTTTGGCAAAGTAGGCCAAAAGAGTCACTCTATCACATGAGAACCTACCTTGTGCCAGGCTCTGTGCTAAGACTGAGACACAGCTAAATAAGAGCCAGGGGATTCTCTGAAGGGGCTCCCACTCTAGATTCTGATCCATGGTCTGGTGACTAGAGCCCTGTCAAGGAGAAATGCAGTGGCCACTGTTCTAGGGTATAGGATGACTCTGGAGTGGAGCATTCTGAGAAAATGGGGCTGTTGTGTGAAAGAGGGTGGGGTTGTTTGGAGTAAGGCTGTGGACCAGGCAGAGTTGACTTGGAGTGCTCAGGGTGGGGTCCTTGAGTTAACTGGAGGTTCATCCCATACAGATGACCCTTTGCTGGAAGTCTTGAAATGATGCCCGGGACCTCCCTGATCTTGACTCATGCCCCATCAAGTGGGACAAGCCACTTGGGCATTGTAATGTGATAGTTGGTGTTGCCTGTGCCTTCAGGTTTCCATACTCAGGGTATCAGGGGTGGTGCCTGTCTCACCAAGCACTACACCGAGGAGTGGCCAACAGCAACACTGAGAGAAACCCATGATTCATCCCAGAGACCAAAGGATGGTGTCCAGCAAGGTCTACCATGGGCCAAGCCAGCCAGGGGATGATTTGAACATGTTCTTGGGATCTGGGTTTTGTGGTTTTGGCTGCCAGGACCATAACAAATTTCTGGAATGTTTGGAAAGTGTCTCAGCCCAGCAGGAAAGCCATGGTGTTACAAGTGCTCTGAACAGGAACTTTTAGGTGGCCAAAGGGGGTTTCTGAAAGAGGGACAAGAGTGGGATGGGACCTGGGATAGGACCTTGGAGGCTAAGGGTGGGGGCAAGGAGATATCATTAAATCTAAAGAGAAATGTGCAGGGGAGGAAAGCCTTATGATACCTGGAGGGCTGCCGCATGGAAAAGGGTAGACACATCTGACTTGGCTGAGGGTGGACCTGAGACCAAAGGGCAGATCCTGTGAAGATGGATGTCCCTTCAGAACAGAGAAGCAATGCCGTGCAGCAATGCCGTGCAGCAGGACACAATAAGGCTCTCTCTCTCTTGGTTTAGTGGTCTCATGGGGTTTATGATGACATCCTGGAAGCTTCAGAAAGGAGGGCAGGATGGGGTTTCCCAATCTTGTGAAAATGCTGCCAGGCTTCCTTAGCTGTTCAAGTTGTTCAAACCTGGGCAGGGTTGTTTTGGGTTTTTTGTTTGTTTTTTTGTTTGTTTGTTTTTGTTTTTTTGGTTATTGCTGTCACCTTTGAGCCTGTAAGTTTTGGAGTAATGGATTATTGCCTGGGTACGTTGAAAATTTTGAGCGGAATGGAACTAATCTCTTGGCTTGGAGGGTGTGGCCGTTATCAACTGCCTAGGTTCTTGTCTGGCCAACCTTGTTGGCCTCTGGGAGAGGTTTTATAAGGGAAGCCCACCAAAGTGCAGCAGTGGCCACTCCCATCAGAAAGAGAATATTGTACTGCGTGGAGTTCCTTAAAGGAGGCCTTCCTAGTCTCAGGGAAGAGGGCTCTTTGGTCACTTGCTCCCTCCTAGCAAACACCAAAATGATGGGAAATGGAGGTGGTGGTTCAGATGACCCAGAGTTGACTGGCTGGCTGCCTTTGGGGTTCTCACTGGGAGTGCTTCACCTCAGGCAGAACCTGCCATCCATACCCTCCATGCTCTCCTGTATTGTAGCCCAGGCTGAACTGGAATTCACTATGAAGACCAAGCTGGCCCCAAATTCTTGGCAATTCTCTGCTTCCTGAATCCTGGGCTTATAGGCATATGCTACCACACCTGACTTTAATTCTTTTTTAATAGCAACAGTTGACCATTGCTGTCATCTTCTTCAATCATAGGAATACAAAGGTAATGAGGTGTGGTTGCTTCTCAGAGTGAGTTTAAAGTCTCTCTGTCTCTGTCTCTGTCTCTGTCTCTGTCTCTGTCTCTGTCTCTCTCTCTCTCTCCTCTCTCACACACACACACAATGTAGCTTATGTTACATAACAGATTATGCAAAAAGAATGTCCCATTCCCAAATGCTAGCGTTGCAGAGTTCTCTGCCTTGGAAGTATTCTACACTGTAGATTCTGACATCATCATGCCTCTTGTGGGTAGTGTGCCATCAGTCTTTACTAAGACAATCCAGAGGCATCTGTTTCTGGCAATCCCGTGTCTGTAGCTGTGGTCAAGGACATTGCTCATTGTGTTACAGAACCTTAACGTTGAGGACAGCAGAGACAATTTCCCTGCCCCTGTGGCAGAAAGAGGTGTGCATCGATGAGGAGTTAGTTTTCTTTCTTTCTTCCTGAGGAGGCTTTGAATCTTGAGTCATTAAAATAACTTTTGAGGAGGTAATTAACATGGACAGAGTCAGCTGTCACCGTGCTGTGCCTTGTGGGAATTTAAAGGTAATTAAAACAAGAACCAAGAGACACATCTGTAGTTCACTTGTAGCAAGTTCATAGACCACAGAGAAAGGATTTGGGGTGTACCTCATTTGTGCTCCATTTGAGGCCTCTACGCTTGCCCTTCCTGGCTCTATCTCACCTACTTCAATCTCAGTGTATTCTGGTCTCCTCATCAGCAGCCTTAATCCCTTAAGAACAAAGAAAGGATGCTGTATTTAGTTTGCCTTACAATTTTTTTTGTATACTTAGTTTGTTTCTTCATGGGCTGATTTTCACATGTGTGAATGGATGAGAGAATGAATGAACAAGACAACCTTGGGAAAACATTCATGTGGGGAAGATGGTTATTTTCATTTTAATCAAGGATCTAAATGATCCGAATATGGAATTACCCTTCAAGAGCATTTGGCACGGGTGATGATGGTGCACACCTTTTTTTCCAGTGCTCAGGGAGGCAGAGTCGGATCTCTGTGAGTGTGAGGCCAGCCTGACCTATAGAAAATGAGTTCCAGGACAACCAGAAACACACAGAGAAACCCTGTCTCAAAATAAAACAAAAACAAAAAGAACATTTGGCTAGGAGACTTAGGTATGTAGCTGAGGAGATGAACACACGTTCATCTTAGTGCATGCTGACCCTATAGTCTTCAGAGAGAGAGTATTAATATAGAAAGGGTTGTGTAGTGGTTCACACTGGGGTAAGTCTGGACCTTAGAGCCTCTCTGGGCTTGAACTCTGGCATTTCTACTGCCCATGTGATGATAGCCACATCACCTGACATTTCTGTACTAGGTCCTTCTATTAAGATACAGGAAGCTGGCATTCCTACTGGCCACACTGGGCTGCCGTGAGGGTTAAAGGGTCAATATATCTAATGTACTCAAGAAAGCACCTGGTACCTGGCAAGTGTGACTGAGGGAGGGGCTGGTATCATTGCTTCCATTGATAGACATTCTTTTCCTTGGTTTCCTTTGCTGTCAACTGAGATGAATAATGGAGACTGGCTGGACGTTAGTTTCAGCTCATCTGCCAGTGTTCCATACTCTCAGAGCATCTCTCTGCTAATTGGATATTAGGCTATTTATTCATTTGTAATATGAGCAGGGTGGTCTTTTTTCCTTCCTTCCTCCCCACACCCATGGCTTAGGTATGTTTTACATCCAGCCAGCACCTCACAGACAAGTCTGACACTGAAATGTCTGTTTTCACTGATGGTTTTTTATCCTATTCTACTCAATTCTTTTTAGTTTTTAAAACAGTCCCAATGAAGCCATTCATTTCATAATCTCTGAATGGACCACAGCCATTGTTTGAAAAATACCAGGTCAAATGACAGTTTTAGTTTTCTCTGTGTCTTTTGTATATTGGAAAAGAGTGTGGTTCCCACTAGGCTCTGGGCTCTGAGGCCAAACTTGTGGTTTAACTCCAGGCTCCACCATTGAATGGCTGTGTCATCCTGGGAGTAAAAAGAGTAACTTTTAATAATTCTTATTTCCTTATTTGTAAAATAGTATACACCCCTGTAGGACTGTTGTAAAAGATTAAACAAATTAATGCGTGAAAATCTTAGCTCTTGGCA